TAGTATATTTGAAAATGAAAATCATTCTAGACCTGAGGACGTGGATCTCCCACGGTCATCAAGATTTATGATTGTAGGGGCAACGTACGTATCAATGCTACCGTCTAATTCCCACATTTTAGGTTCCACCTTTTCTTTTACATGCTGAATTCATTTTCCCACTTATTCGGTGTTATTCTTTGTATAGCATCATGAAAAATTTAATACTTTTATTTTCTGCTGCAACATATTTTTTACGAGTGCCCAACTGAGCTCAATCGGTTTGAGCTCACAATGGTAAGGAGGCAGTCGTAAAACAGTTTTATTTTGTTTTTTGGCCATTTCATCAATTATGTTCAGGTTATATTTATTTTTATGCGTCTTGACAATTTGTAACAATTCTGCCTTAACCATTGTATCATAATCAATCTTTTTTTTAAGCCATCCTTCAATTTCAGATTTTTTTGCTGACGAATCTTTCTCTAATTTTTGTCGTGTGATATGAAGCATTATCTAATACTATAAACGAATTATCTTCAAGCTTGGGTAAAGTATTTGAGAACCAGTCCTCCAACAAGGCTCCATCCATTTCTTCATGGTAGTCTCCCGTTTTTTTGGATTCAAATGCCTATAAAGCATCGGATACAAGTCCATCTTCATTAACGATGTGGCAGATTATCAATCGCTTCCCTTTCCTAAAAATAATTCACTGTGGACCCTTAAAAATCGCTCCCATTCAAAGCATTAAAAACTCAGCAAAATGATTACTTGATTTCTCATCTCGATACAGTTTAAGCATGTACAAAAACAAAAATAAAATATAATTTTAGTTCCATACCAGAAATACGTACGTACGTGTTTTGAAACACTACCTGACGGATTTTTTAATCCAGTGGGTAGTCCATTCAAGAAAGCTTGCTTTAAAGATTTTAAGGAAGAATCCATCCAAACGTTCGCCTGTGTATGCCCAGCGTTGATCCATGTTCCATCTAGGTAGTATATTTTCCTACCTTCTGCACGAAATTCTCTGATAGTCCGTTCCCCAGATAACTATTTTGTATTTTTCCAATAAAAGCTTTCTTCCCCGCTTTTTGTATTGAAACCCCATTTCTTTTAATAATGTATAGAAGGATCTCTTGAAACTTGGCAAGTCGTTATCCTCGTTCACCAGCTTCAGCACTTTATCCACTGTTGGTGATTCACTACGAAAGAAAAAAATGTGTACAATTCTCATTATGGCGGTTCTGTCGAAGACATCTATGGAATCATTGATTTTTTTCTTGGCGGATACTTTTTTGGGTCGACCAGTGAATGGCTAGATCTGTACTTCCGAACAATTCGGTAAATACTTGCACGACTAACGCCCGAAATACTTGCTACTTTGCAATGTCCTGACCACTTGAGTCATTCCTTTCTTGTGCAGCTTATATCAACAACTGCATCAGCTGTATCAGGCATTTTGAGTTCTACGAAATTGAACTGACAAATCTAATAAGCACACAGTAATACGAGTATAAATCTGATGCCAACTCTGTACTGTATAAATATAAAGGGTGTCCCGAAAAAAGTGTGCAATATTCTACCAGCGGTTTCTAGAGGTTAAAATAAAAGTTTATATAAACATAGGTCGACAAACGTCCCTTAAGGGCGCTACGGTCTTTCAAAGAGGCTCCCCTGAAGATGGTTTTTCCTTAATATTTCCAAAAAGTGTTGAGATAAAGACATAAAATTTTGTATTCTAGCCTAGTCTTTTATGCTGGACTTAAAAATGTTTACAATTATAGACAGTTTTGTTTGGAAGCGTATGCAACAGGGACGGACTCTGGTTATTTGAGCCCCAAAATTGTGGTAATGAAGTTGTTGACGTAGATGGAATTTCTGACCATCTAGCCCTAATATTTTATGTAGATGCATCGGAGATAAGCAACCTATGTAAACTGAGGACATATCGTGATTACGCTACCTTTAGCCTAGACAATTTCTACCATGATTTACTTTTAATAAACTGGGATTTTATATATACGTTGAGAGATGTGGATCAAATGATTGACTTCCTGAGCTCTAATATCTTGTGCACCTTCAACTTGCATGCTCCTGTCAGAAACATTCGAGTTACCAAGCCACCAGCTCCTTGGCGAACATTCAACATAAAGCTCATGATGCGAACAAAAAGTGACGCATTTAAAAAATTTAAACGTACAGGAACGATTGCTGCCTGGGAATTCTATAAGAAAATCAGAAATTATGTTTCTAGTGCTATTAGGCGAGAGAAAAAAGCCTACCTCGATTATGTTATGAAACATAAAAATTCGAAGACTACATGGAATATACTTAGATCTTTGAATATCGTTAAACATAACTCCATAAGTCTACCTCCACATCTTCAGGATCTCGATTCATTAAATTGTGCTTTTTTAAACGTACCTCAAACAACCAAATCATTAACTCAATTGAACCTTTTAGACAAATATGAAAACGTCAAGAATAGTGGTACTTTTCTGTTCACGACAGTTTCCCCTGCCACTGTAGAGAAATTTATCAATCGCATCAAAAGTCATGCTAAAGGCTCAGATGGCATCACAATTGATATGATCATAAGCATTTACTCAAGTATATTACCTTCATTATTAACTTTTGTATAACAATAATCTTTATCCCTCTTCCTGGAAGAATGCTCTTGTTCTCCCTCTGCCTAAATCTAATTATCCTTCAAGTTTTTCTGATCTTCGTCCTATAAGCATTTTACCAAGTTTATCTAAGCTTTTGGAAATGGCTCTACATGAGCAGTTGCACACATTTGTTTGTCAAAATAATTTACTGACCACCTCCCAATCTGGCTTCAGACCATTACATAGCACCACCACTGCGCTCCTGTCTATATCGGATAATATTTATAGCGCGGCTGATCAAGGAAAGCTGTCCTGCTTAGTTCTTCTTGATTTTAGCAAGGCCTTCGATACGGTTGACCCAAATATTCTCTGTAAAAAGCTTAGATACTTTGGCCTGTCATCATCGGCTTGCTCGCTGATTAAGAGCTTTTTAACTGATCGCTCACAGTCTGTCATATATGAAAACAATATATCAACTTCTTTATTCAGAAATTTTGGTGTCCCTCAAGGATCTATTTTGAGTCCCCTTTTATTTGCTCTTTATATATGTGATTTTCATGAAACCGCCAGCAACTCAATCGTTCATCATTACGCCGATGATACCCAACTTTATAACTGCTTCGATCCTGATGAATATATGCTTGGCCAACATCAAATAAATCAAGACCTGCAGTCTATTTTTGACATATCTAGTGCTCACAATCTAAAACTAAATCCTGGCAAATCATGCTGCATTTTATTTGGGCCCAAAAAGAATCGTGGAATAAATCAATATCGCATTAATATTATGGTGAATAATGAAGACATATCCTTCGTAAACGAATGCAAAAACCTTGGTATCTGGTTTGACTGCAAGCTACGCTTCACTAAACATGTTAACCAACTATGCAATGCGTCCTATAATGTGCTTCGTCAGTTATACCCGAGTCGAAGTGTCCTGTCGACACAGCTCAAGCTTAAACTCTGCGAGTCCCTTATCCTGTCAAAATTATCTTACGGTGACTCTGTTTATGGACCTGCTCTTTTACAGCGTGATGCCGAGCGGATTCAGATGATACAAAACTCATGCATCAGATTTTCTTATGGAATCCGTAAATTTGATCATATTAGTAGCGCTTTTGACCAATCGGGATGGTTTAAGATGAACAAATTGAGGAAACTGCATTGCCTATCTCTGGTACATAAGACCCTTATCCTTAAAGCGCCATATTATCTTTATACAAAACTAAGCCTCCTCTGCCAGTACGATCAAAGATCCTCTAGGAATAAACTCATCTTACTTATTCCGCGGCATTCGACAGCATTGTTCACACGCAGTTTCTCGTACTGGGCACCCAAACTATATAACTGCTTATCAAGTGAGTATAAAGAATATAGCCTAAGCAATTTTAAAAAAAGGTTAAAGATGAGTTTAAAGCAGTCGGATGGCTAAAATTTTACTTTATGCATATCCACAGGTAATTGATTGTTTCCTTTCTCTGATAAGTGTTATATTCTAAGTTTTTTTCTCTCTCTCTCTCTCTATAGTTTGTGTCAATGTTTTCCAGGTCGGGTTGAAAAACAGCATAAGCTGACACTCCACCTTTTCGTCACTGATCCTTTTAAACCAATTATTTTGTAATCGTGTGACGAATAAAGGCCATTTATTATTATTATTATTATTATTATTATTTGCTAATATCCACTGGCAAAACTCGATTCGTGGTAAAAAATCTGCTTCCGCTAAATGCTGCACCCGTTTAAAATGATAAGGATGTAATCCTTGCATTCTTGTCATTCTTCCTATCCACAATTGCTATTTTTAGGATAACCATCAAATAGGTATTCATAAATTTTTCTTACTATTCCGTATGCTTATTTGCGTATTATTTTCAAACATATTTAAAGCAATATCCATACGATAATTTCCCAGTGGCCTTCCTGAGCAATGCATTCGCTGAAAACTTCCATGGTTTGAGAAATTCCGGTGAATATCAGTAGACATTCGACGTCCAGGTACTATGCGATTGGAAAATCTTCTGTGATATTCTCTTACGGCTGCCAATGAACTGCCATTGCAAAACCTGCACACAAAATGCATGTCAGTCAGTTCGCTGTCTGTAAATCTTGGCATTTTAAATCGATTTAATAAAAATTTTGATTTTAATCTAGTAATTTTACACTGCTAACAATATCAGCTTAACGTCAAAATAAGTCATAACAAATCAAAACAACTTTTGTTTGCAGTCATGGCTAACTATGAATAATCAACAATTCATTTAAATTTGCAGTACATTTCCTATCATGTGACAAATTTTTTAGTTTGATTTCATTCAAGAATGCCACAATTTATCGATATTCAATAAGAGTACCTTTTTACGTAGAAAACCCTAAATTTTCAAATTCTATAACTGAATTTTAAAAATAGAATCACACAAAAATTTGCAGTCTTACAAACTGTTGTCCTTTTAATACCAAAATCGTTTGCAACACCACTTTGAAAACCAGGGTCACTAATATACCGGAGAAATATTACAATATATTTTCTTGAGGACAGTGCACCACCTCGAGTTTCGTTGGTTTCTGGTAAGAAATAGTTTGTAATGAAATCGATATCTTCATTTTCAAACCTTAAAAGACGTTTTGCACTATTTGGACTTATATCTGTACACGATCACGATATTGTTTAACTTTACGTATATTCATAAATGCTGCCATAATTTAAACACTTCAAATTATCAATTGCGGCAAGGTAACATCAAACCAACCTTGCGAAAATGAAAGTATTTACTTAATATGTAAAGTTTTCTATTGCTCTTATTCACTCCAATCGTAAGTGAACACTTAAAATAGTTACTTTAGGAGTAATATCTCGTGTTTGCTTGACTGTAAATCTTGGCATTTTAAATCGATTTAATAAAAATTTTGATTTTAATCTAGTAGTTTCACATTGCTAACAATGTCAGCTTAACGTCAAAATAAGTCATAACAAATCAAAACAACTTTTGTTTGCAGTCATGGCTAACTATGTATAATCAACAATTCATTTAAATTCGCAGTACATTTCCTATCATGTGAGTTTTATTTTATTTAAGAATGCCACAATTTATCGATATTCAATAAGAGTACCTTTTTATGTAGAAAACCCTAAATTTTCAAATTCTAAAATTGAATTTTAAAAATATAATCAAACAAAAATTTGCAGTCTTACAAACTGTTGTCCTTTCAATACCAAAATCGTTTGCAACACCACTTTGAAAACCAGGGTCACTAATATACCGGAGAAATATTACAATATATTTTTTTTTAGGACAGTGCACCACCTCGATTTTCGTTGGTTTCTGGTAAGGAATAGTTTGTAATGAAATCGATATTTTCATTTTCAAACCTTAAAAGACGTTTTGCACTATTTGGACCTATATCTGTACGATCACGATATTGTTTAACTTTACGTATATTCATAAATGCTGCCATAATTTAAACACTTCAAATTATCAATTGCGGCAAGGTAACATCAAACCAACCTTGCGAAAATGAAAGTATTTACTTAATGCGTAAAGTTTTCTATTGCTGTTATTCACTCCAATCGTAAGTGAACACTTAAAATAGTTACTTTAGGAGTAATATCTCGTGTTTGCTTGACTGTAAATCTTGGCGTTTTAAATCGATTTAATAAAAATTTTGATTTTAATCTAGTAGTTTCACATTGCTAACAATGTCAGCTTAACGTCAAAATAAGTCATAACAAATCAAAACAACTTTTGTTTGCAGTCATGGCTAACTATGTATAATCAACAATTCATTTAAATTCGCAGTACATTTCCTATCATGTGAGTTTTATTTTATTTAAGAATGCCACAATTTATCGATATTCAATAAGTACCTTTTTATGTATAAAACCCTAAATTTTCAAATTCTAAAATTGAATTTTAAAAATATAATCAAACAAAAATTTGCAGTCTTACAAACTGTTGTCCTTTCAATACCAAAATCGTTTGCAACACCACTTTGAAAACCAGGGTCACTAATATACCGGAGAAATATTACAATATATTTTTTTTAGGACAGTGCACCACCTCGATTTTCGTTGGTTTCTGGTAAGGAATAGTTTGTAATGAAATCGATATTTTCATTTTCAAGCCTTAAAAACGTTTTGCACTATTTGGACCTATATCTGTACGATCACGATATTGTTTAACTTTACGTATATTCATAAATGCTGCCATAATTTAAACACTTCAAATTATCAATTGCGGCAAGGTAACATAAACCAACCTTGCGAAAATGCAAGTATTTACTTAATGCGTAAAGTTTTCTATTGCTGTTATTCACTCCAATCGTAAGTGAACATTTAAAATAGTTACTTTAGGAGTAATAACTCGGGTTTGCTTGACAAGTACAAGTAAAAGTTTTATTAATCACTTACTACCAAGAATTTACTTTAAAATGATGAAGTAAAGTGAATAAAATGTAGTAAATACTAGGAAGTATTTACTTTTTAGTAAAGTAAAGTCTGCCAAGTAAAAGTAAATACTTAATTTGGAGAGAATAATCATTTGCTTTTACTAAGTAGTATTTGCTGGAAAAGTTGAAGTAATTACTAGCAAGTATTTACTTATAAAAGTTACAATTTAAGTATTTGCTTCGCTACGCCAAGGCTATGTTCACATTTACGGAGTGCGCGTATGCTGACATGGAACGCAAAATATATATCCGGTGCACACCGGTGCGCGCCTTGGGCGTAAATGTGAACGCGCCCCAGTGCTACGGATTCCTAATGGCGGCAAAAAATGTAAACACGACACATGCTCTGTGTACACAAAATTACTAATTATCAGTCGTGCTATCATGTCTAGTAGCGAAGAAGAAAGTAGTACAGATAAAAATGAAATCTGTAAAGCTGAGGCGAGTAATACCCAAAGTAAGATGCGTTTTGTGAATTTATTAAAAAACCACCGAGTGGTATTAAATAAATCTATGTTGCCGAAGATAGTGGCAGCGAAAGAAAAAGCCTGGAATGAAATAAAAGATGAGTACAGTAAAGGCATTGGCAAAGTAGTCACCATAGCACAACTAAAAAAACTTCTAAACAACATGAAGACGAATATTAAGAAAAAAACTGATGCAAACGCGACGGGCAATAAACCATTGAAAGTGAATAAATGGGAAAGTGAATTTCTGGAAATCGTACAGATTGAAGAGAATCCTGTTTTTTTTAAAGTTCCTGGAGGCGTTTCAGCCGGAGTAACAGTGGACAACTCATCAGAAGCATCGCTTGTAGGAATCCGAAATGTCAGATGTCGGGACTAGAAGTGCGCCCCGTAAGGAAGTTGATGTGGTAAAACGACGAAAACGTGTTCTGGAGGGTGAAACAGAGGAAACCTCTCAACTTATAACTCCAGAGTTGCAACGCCTTGTACTATTACAATAGTTGGCAGCAGCGAGGCTGCAACAGGAAAAAGACAAGCTTGTTATTGAATTATTGAAACAGCGTTTAGTTCAACATGGAAATGTAGAAGAGCCAGTTTCCGACCAGAACAGTTTAACAGAGCTCGGGCAATATTTACTATTTGACAAATGATATTTTTGTTTGTATTCAGTTCTCATAAATAAACGTTTCCATGTTAAAAGTATATTTAATTCAGAAAACTACAGAAGAGCTCCCTTTAAATATTATATGAAATTTCAAATAAGTTTTATCCCTACACCATTAACCCTGGAACTGCACATTGGGGTCTGAGAAACCCAGGTATCCCCTCTCTTGTAAGTGCTTCGAAGAAACGTAAATAGTTCGGCTGGATAGTTCGGTGTACCTATCCCCTCCGAATATTGACTAACATCGGTGAATGGGTACGGCAGACCCCAGTGTGTGGTTTACGTTGATAATATTTATTTTGTATTTTATAGCTATGGCAAATTCTGACTGGGAAAATCGTCGTCCCTTAACGCAACGTGAGTTACAAAATGAGGTCGACAATGTGTGGCAAAATAAAGATGAGGCAGATAGTGACGAAGACTTGTTTTTTGAATTATCTGACAGGGACGAAGATTATGTCGATGAACAACAGTCTGATACTGACAATGAACAGAGTGATGATGGTGATGAAGTTGTGTTACAGAATCCTGGTATATCGAGCAGGAACACTGCTAGTATAATGGGCAAAAACGATCATCGCTGGAGTACCAAAATACCAGAACGCAGAGGCCGCACAACGAGAGACAATATTGTTTTACATATGCCCGGTCCTAAACAACAGGCGAGATTAGTTCGCTCTCCAATAGAAGCATGGGAGTTATTATTTAACCAAGAAATGTTAGATATAATTGTATTACACACAAATCAAGAAATTGTGCGTAAGTGTTTTGAAAACTTGTTATAAAAGTTATAAAAAGCCAACTAACCTTGTAGAGATTAAAGCTTTTATTGGGCTTCTCTATTTAGCAGGAGCCCTTCGACTATCAAATACGAATTTAGATGAATTATGGTCAATAAAGTACGGAAATGGATTATTTCGAGCTACAAGGTCTCAACATAGATTTCAGTTTCTAGCTCTCTGTTTACGATTCGATGATAAGATGGTAGGGCTGCAAGAAAATTAGTAGATAAATTTACACATATCCGACAGCTTTGGGAAATTTTTATTGAAAACTGTAAGTCGTATTACACTCCCTATGAAAATTGCACAGTGGATGAGCAACTTGTCAGTTTTCGGGGAAAATGTCCATTCAGAATATACATGTCTAGTAAACCCGATAAATATGGTATGAAAATAATGATGAAGAACGACTCTAAAACTTATTATATGGTTAATGCAATTCCATATGTGGGAAAAGTTAATGTAGAGAATAATGAGCCAGTACCTACTTATTATGTTCGGAAACTCTCAGAACCAATTCATGGAACCCACCGTAATATAACCATAGACAACTGGTTCACCTCTATACCTCTATGTGAGGAAATGTTCCATCAGTATAAATTAACAATCCTAGGAACACTGCGAAAAAACAAAAGAGAGATACCCACAAGCTTCTTAGGAAGAAAAGCAGTTGGCACGTCCCTTTTTGCTTTTGATCACAACAAAACGCTTGTTTCGTATACGCCTAAGCGAAATAAAGTTGTGCTTTTACTATCCACTTTGCATCCTGATTCATCCATTAATGTTGATACTGGAAAGCCAAACCTGATACATTCATATAATGAAACGAAGGGAGGAACGGATAGTTTTGACCAGTTATGTCATTCTTACACGACATCACGCAAAACTAGAAGGTGGCCCGTGAGAATATTTTTCAATATGTTGGATGCCAGTGAAATTAATGCTATGATTATATTCTCTCTTGTGAATCCAGATTGGAAAGAAAATACTAAAAATAATCGTAAAACGTTTCTCAAAGAACTAAGTAATTCATTAATTGAGCCACATTTACGAGAGCGGGCACAAGTGACCACGCTGCGATCATATCTTCGGCTTAGCATTAGTGAAATTCTAGGAATGGATGCGCCACAAAGACAGCATCCAGCAACAGATTTGCCAAGAAAGGTTAGATGTGCAATATGTCCACGTGGTAAAGACAGAAAAACTAACTTTGGATGTTCTAAATGCTACAAACCATATTGTTTAGAGCACAGGGCTAAACTTTGCTGCCAATGTGAAGACACAAACTGAGTTTCATGACTAAGAAATTTATTGAGGTGTATTTTCATTTTTCAACTTTTTTTATGTTCTATAATGACTTTTTAGACAATAAAAATGTATTTAGCTTTTTAAAAGTTTTTTGTTGCATTTTTATTGATTACCTTCAGTTAATGTGCAATTGTATACTGATTTGTAATATTATTTGTTCTAATACAATTAACGTTGAACCCAATGAACAAAATATTATTAAAACATTTTCTTCTACGAATTATCTGATGTATTTTGACATAAAAAGTAAAAATATAATAATGAGGGTACATAACATCCAACAAAAATACTTGGGTTTCTCAGACCCCAGTGTGCAGTTTATAGGATAAAAAATAAGTGTGCTGTTCCAGGGTTAAGAAACCTCCTTAAAAAATGTTTTTGTTAGAATAGAGAAGTTTTTGCTACACAAGTCTGCATTTGTTTGAGTAACTAAGCAGACTCCATCAATTTTTTGCGTCTAAATCGCTCTCTATTTTATATAAACTTGAGCTTGAATAGCTACCAAAACTTTGCCGACCAAATTAGTTCTCGATTGAAATCACATCACGTACACCTGCGACAGGAAACAAGGTACAAATATCCTGGAGACAAGGTCAGGATAAATAACATAGTTGTAGTATTAGCTGCAATTTCCCACAAATCCTTTCGGAATCCCTGCTAAAGTCATTTAGAAGATAAACTAGCGGTAATTTGTACATAACCCTAGTCATAAATCGTGTTGATCGCACAGATAGGAAGATAAATTTCAAAATAAACACCAAGCAATATCCTGTTTTCCGCTTTTATCATTGTATACCTAATATCAACCTATAATATCCTGAGGATATCAGTAATTAATGAGGAACGTGACTAAACTTTCTTGATTGGGTTACCCTATATTCAATTACTAGCGAAATTAAATTTTGTGGATATTGGCCGGATTTTGCCAATAAGTATAATAATCTATATGATTATTAAAGGACCAGCATAACTGAGTTCTCTATGTAAGATAAGGATGGGATAGAGTTGGGATCTCGAAAATGGTTGGTGTTACAAAGTTTGCTTAAATGAGGAAAAGTTGCACAATTTAAATATCTTTATATTTATGGAGTTTC